ATAGCTTTTCATTTGAATAACCTTTTGCTTCTTGCTAAACACATTGCAGAAACACGTAGACCAGACAAAAAAAGTGCTCTCTCTTAAATATTTATATTGGAAAACTCCTTTGGAAAGTATTTTAGTTGAATGAGATCTCTATTCCATCCCTACGTATTATGGAAGCTTAATCCAAGCTACAGTTTAAAATAAAAGTTTTCAGGGCAGGGAGTGTTTATCAAAAAATGTTTGTGCTGCTGTTCTAAAATTCTGTTAAGCATTTATTTTTATGTTGTTTTTAGTTGAATGCATAGCTTTGTGTCACTTGTATGTATTTTAATGGAAAGTCTTGGACCAAATTCGAGGAAGAGCCCAATCTCAAAGCTGGCTGACCTTTTGGTGTTGACACATTTGTCAGAGTTATGTAAGATTCTTAAAACTACTGAAAACAAGTAGCAAGAGAAGCATTCTCTGCATAGACCTAGACACATTCAGAATTTTTTCAAAAGTAGGTGAATTAATGAGGTATAGATTTACTTTCACAGCTCAATTTCCTAACTTAAATTGATGCTAATATGTGTGTCTGCTAAGTGGGCATATATACATCTTTCAGGACTTAAAGGTTCTTGAGTTTGTACATCACCAAATATATAAAACACTATCCTCTTGCTAACTCCTTTTTGTCAGTTCTACTTCAGTCTTGCAAATATAGATCCTCTGCTTACCATTTTAAAAATCTAAGGGATTAATATGCAAAATTAAACAGGTGAATGGAAAAAAGCCAAGAAAGTGAAAGCCAAACTAAGTAATTTTTTTCCAGTCACACATTTTACTTTTATACTGTAGCAATTTTTGCTTAGGCATGCCAGATTTTTCATCATTTTATGTAAATTCCTAACAGGAAACTTCCATAACTAGATGTGGAAGAAGTTTTTATTTAAAGGAGAAAAAAGGTAGCTAGAGCATAAACAGGGTTCTGGTTGGTGTACCTTTTTGCCCTGAAGTCTTCCGTTTTTATTGACAGCAGTCACTAAAGTTTACTGCTGCTCATAAAAGGAAAAGAAGTCAAGATAATTGAAGCAGGCAAGAATTACCTGAGAGTGGGATGAGAAGGGTAATAAAATACTTAATTAGGAAAAAACCAGTACATTCCAAATGGGAGAGTGAAGAACTAAAAGAAACCTGAATGGAGCCTGAAATGATACTACACGAACAGGAAAAGCAGTAGTTACCATTAGTAATTACTGTGTTGAGCTAGAAGGAGGTGGAGAATAGGCAGGGTTTTCCCTTTGCAAATACACATTTTTTTATGCTTTTGACACAACACTGGTCTTGCATATGGTGTTGGCAGCTTCTTTGTATCTTAAGAAGAAGTCAGAGAGTACTCGGACTCACTATTGAAAGACCTTTGAAAGTGGAAATTCTTGATAGTATTTCTTTTTCTAACTGCTGGACTTACAGACAGAGTAGAATATTGTTAAAAGTAGATTCCCCTGGGAGCTGTGCATGGACATAGTAGATGTCAATCATCCTGGATGTTACCATCTGTTTACATTAAGAGAAGCAATCAGTTTTTACAGATTGTCATAAAGCAGAGAGATTTTTCTACTTACAGAGAAAATATTCAATTTCCCTCAGGTTTTTTTTTTTCTCTTTCTCTTTTATAGCAGCATGAAACTACACAGAAATAAAGTTGGTAGCCTTGGTAGAATAAAAATACTCTGGTTTAAATGGTAAGAGCTTAAGATGTGAAATAATCATACATTTAAGCTCCTGGTCTTAAATATGAGGAGAACTGATTTCACTAGAATCCAGTGTCAATTTACTGAAAACATTTAAGTGGTGTAATTCAGATGTATTGTAGTAAATATTACTTTTGCATTAAACACAATCCACACTTCTACACTGGCGTCTCTAAGTTTCACTTCCGTTGAAATAAATGCCTGAAGCCTTTTCTGAAACTAAGATTGAAACCTTTAGGTAGTCTTCTCTTTTTACACTTGCAGACTTCAAAATTAGTTTGGTATTGAGGATCACCTAGAAGCTGCTATGATTGCTACTTATTATTGCTATTTAGCCAGTAATAATTAGTGATTGCACCTTTGTTCCTCCTTTAGTTGTGACCGTTCAATAGCCTCTATGTTCTGCTTGTTTTAGCACAGTAGTCTATTACCACAGTGTTGGAATAAAATTTCTCTTTTAAGAACTCTAGTCTAGATTTTTATCTAATTAATTGGTGGTAGCTGACATGGTAATGTGCATGTGAAGAGTAGAGAGCTAGAGAACAATGGAGTATGTAACAAGCCAATATGTAAAGAGGCATTACCTGCAAAAATGCTAAATTTAATCCTGTCTCTATTTGATCTCTTCCATTTTTTCAAGTTCTGCTTGTGCCCTGCAGAAAAAAGAATCATCATCTGTGGGCTTGAGGAGATATCTAGCAAACACACAGGAACACATGCAGTAAAAAGAAGCTGACTGAGACAAATATTTATTGCAACAAACCCCTACCAGTTGGACAGCAACAATACATGGAGGGAAATCAAAAGTGAAAGTTATTGTGGAAGATGATAACAGATTTCAAATGTATCACAAGTTCAGAAAAAGAATTTGGAGATTACCCTTTTGTCATATTGAAGAAATAAAAATACATGTACCACAATAATCTGTATGAATCCCTTCATTTCAATGACTTGACAGAATGTACCATGTGATCCCTCAGCTGGACTAACTGAACAAAGCTTTCCATGAAAATTCTACAAGCAGTTTTTAATGGGGATCAGAAAATTAAGTTTTGAAGGTGCCAGCCTTTTTCATTCCAGAGAACAAAAGCATCTATTATACTACTTTGCTGAGATCTTAGAGATCAATATATTTTTCACATATGTCTAGTCAACTGTCACCTTATATCCCTCAAAATGTATTATTATGATCTCAAATTACTGTTGAATTTGTCTGTTAACAGTCTGTTAATTGTACATCTGACGGTCCAACTAAGAAATTCAAATATCCACTCTATATTGTGTTGAATACATGTGTTTATTGTGCTACAGCTGCAGTAGCTAACTAGAAAATTTGCAAAAAGCTTTTACCCGTACTCTTGCTGAAGTGCACTCCTAGATTTTCTGCTGAATATTTGAGATAAGATTTAAAGAAGTAAAAGGATTATCAGAAAAGAATAAGGCGAGTAAATCTTGAGGACAAATTATGAGGTTGCAGAAGTCAGGAAGAGACTTTGGGTCAACTTTTAGGACTTTTCATCCTTGTTTAATTATAGATCTTTTAAGTTTTCTTTAAAGCATTTTTATTTTATTTCACCACAGGAAATGGGGAAATTACTTGCCTTCAACACTTCGATAGATAGATAGGTAGATAGATAGATAGATAGATAGATAGATAGATAGATAGATAGATAGATAGATAGATAAAGTAGATAGATACAATTTTTTCATTGAACCCATTTAAGTTTGTAGACTCCTCTGGCTGTGGCCCAAGAGGAAGGTTCATCTGGGGAAGCCTGAAAAAAAACCTGCACTTACAGCAAGGCAGGTGTTTTCTCTGCCACTCTGTGATTCCAGAAAAGAGATGTAGCACAGGCTTGGCTGTGAGAAGCTATATTGCACACAAATCGGTATCTCCAAAAAGCAAGAGCAGTCAAAAAAAAAAAAAAAAAAAAAAAAAAAAAATCAGTTTCCTTGAGAAAGGTGAAAAAGTGCTCTAAAAGTTGGTTAAATGTTGACCAAGTGAAGCATGAAAAGCAGACGGATGGCGCTGGTGAGAGAGCCAAGCTCCAAGCCCTAGCAACACTTGAATTCTGGCTGACCCCTGCAGAGGGGGAAGTAATCGCCTTCTCTTAGAACATAAGAACAAAGGTGCTTACAGAAAAGAAACCAGGGGAAGAAATGTAATGTCCCGTGTGCTGCAAAATAAGGATAGTAAAATTCATCAAGCAGCACTACAGTTTTTTGCACAAAGGAAGCAAGCCAGCTCCAAAGGTCTGTGGGGCAGCAGCCTGGCACAAGGTGGGTTGCTGGGCATTGTCTCACTATTTGTGCTCAGCTCCTGAGAGAGCTGTGCATGCAGCAGCACAGGGCTCTGTGCACTCACAGGTACCTGTCTCTAAGGTACATTCGTCATAGACTCAACTCATAGTTCCATCCTACATGTTTACTTGAAAACAATGCCATGATCACAGATGTCTCCAGATGCACATGCCAAGAGCAGGCACATACTTTTATAAGGGTGTTTTTGCATTAGTCACATGACAGAAATCAACGTTTTCCAGGATGAGTGGCTGTTATAGAGATGCTCTACAGCTTGGCAGACCACCTTAAGCTGGTAGAGACATGAGCAGCCTGAAAGTGCCAAACTGAAGAAACCTCAGAGGGAAACCTGTCACACACCAAGTGAAGCTGGCTTTCCTTCCAGCTGACATAATGGGTGATTTTCTCAGACATCTGCAGATATTTTGCTTTCACTGGGTTGAAAACATGTATTATGAAAATATCTGTGTTTTGTTTGTGCTTAGTCAGATACAGTTAGGCAGCTTTAGCAGCTGTGAAGGCAAACACTAGTCACCTGGGGTTTTTTTTTCCAGCAAAAAGCAAATTGAGGAGCAGTTTTAAATCCCGGTAGGAAATGTTTGTTGCGCAGTGAGTGTAACTTCAGAAAGCAGCTGTCCTCCCACCGCCGTGGAAGAGGCGGTTGCTACTCTCATGGCCTAAAGTTTAACTAAGAGCTGCCCAAATAAAACCGCATTGCTCCTCCTGAGCCCCTTGCCCTTGCGTCCCCGCAGCAGCGGGAGCGGGACCCGGTGGGACCTGCCCCAGTGGTTATTCCGGTGCTCCGAGTGGGAGCCGGACATTTGTGGTCTGGTTTGTGTCTAACAGCTCCCACCGGACGCGCTTTTCTGGTATCCCCAGGGCGAGCGGGGAGCAGGTACGGGCAGGCAACAAACAGTTAATTTATGGCACTTCTATACACATTTGCGGAGAGAGATGCTGAGAAGGGGATTCGTATTTCACACGTTCCGGGCGGCGCGGAGGAGGATGCGCCAGTGCCGCTCCATAGGGACTCGGCGCCGTGAAGGGTCACGGATTCCCTCAAACCCCGCCGCGCTGCCGAGCCCTCCGCCCGCGGCTCCTCCCGCAGGGGCTGCGCCGCCGCCCCGGGGCCGTCCCGGCGGAGAGACCGGGCCGCCTCCGCTCCGCAGGGAGCAGCGGAGGGAGCAGCGCCGTGCCCCGGCTGCGGCAGCGGGAAGGGGCCGGGGAAGCCATCCCCGGGGACACGGGAACGCGGTGAGCGGGGGGACGGGACGGGGCGGCGAAGGGTGTGTGCGTGGGGCAATAAATGTCTGAGCCGGCGGCAGCGCAGCCACATCCCGTGCCCCAGCGCGGCTCCCCGGGTGGCAGCGGCAGGTGAGCGGGGCCGGCCCCGAGCCCCCTTTCCCCGGCCGAACCCCCTTTCCCCGGCAGAGCCTCTTTTCCCGGCCGAGCCCCTTTCCCTGGCCGAGCCCCTTCCCCGGCCGAGCCCCCATTCCCCGGCCCCCCCCCCCCCCCCCCCCCCCCCCCCCGGTCCCGCGGGTGGCAGCGGCCGGGCAGCGGCGGCGGCCGCCGCGGGTGCCTCCTGCCGGCCCGTCGGGGGCTTTTCGCAGAAAATTTCAGAGGGTGTTCTTCCCCCCTCTCCTTGGGTGGGTAGTGAGGGAATGCAACGGGTTTGTTCTTATTTTCAGTTCTGAAGGGTTTGTTATTTTGAAAACCTGAAGAGCGACCAGCAACCAAGGCAGTGAGAGTGTCGTCTCTCGATGGAATTTAGTGTCAGTCTGAAACAAAAAAAAAGTAGTTTGGTTGTTTTTTTGAGGGAAGAGGGGTTGGACAAAACTTCAAACTGATTCCACAGCCTTGGTTTGACCAGCAGAGCAGGTTCAAAAATTAATTCTTGGTGCGTCTTTTCTTTGCATCGCCGTGAGGCTCCACTTGTATCTCTCATCCAGTAAGCTGGATGCATTTTAAGAATAGTTTAAGCCCAAGAGGTAGAAATACTGGTGCTTCACAGTGTCAGTCTTCTTCCTGACTTTTCCTCCCTTGACTGTGCACGGTTTTGAAGATCTTCTGTGCCATTTACTTTGACAAAGGTCATTGATTTTTCTGCTGTAATGGCTCTGTGACATCTGTATTGAGAACTAGAAGTACAAGAACTCTATAAAACTTGGTCCCAGTTAAAATCCTTGTTGCAAGTGAGTTGTTTCTGTGACTGTAGTGTCCAACAGAAAAATCTGTGAACACTTCAGTTGTTCAAAGCACAGATCCCCTTCTCCCTCCAGTCCTTCTCCCAATAGAGTCATGCTTATGCTGTGGCAGGGATTCCTGCTACTTCTTACCTCCAGTTGCTGACCTATGACATAAGCAGGCTGACCTTCTCTGATGGGATTACTCCTCTGCTGGGGAGCTGTCTCTGTCCCTCTCAGCCCACTGTCCTATACCATTTAGTGGACTACCATCTCGTTTTAGGAGTCACTTAATGCTGTATATGCTTATTGGTGTCACAAAATCAACCGATTTCTTGTTGGTATCGTCCCAGACAGCACTCACTTTAGCCTGCACTCAGTAATGGCTGTTAACTCTTTCAGGTAGGCTAAAAGCATTTTGCATCTATGAAAATTTCAGTTCTGTATTTCTGAACAAGCAGAGAAATTCACAGTAACTTGCAGAGCTGCCAAACCATGAAATACAGAGCCCTGGCAAAGAAGATTCTGAAGAGTTGTTTATTTTTGGACATGAAGACACAATATATGATGAAATTATGCTGTCAGAAATATTTTTCTAGTTCCCACTAACTTAAGGAATCAAGCATATAGAGTTGAACAGTTAGGTCTGTGAGAGTCTTTTCTCATCTTCTACGTGCAACTTGCTGGTATCTGGAAGGACGACCTTGATTCTGTATCTGTTACCTACAATCAGGCTCTCTGGAAGACAAAACTATATGGATTTTTGGCAGTGCAGAGATTACTAAATGCAATTATGTATATTAAAATACAGCACTGATGAAAGGTGTATGGTATAACCAGGGATGGTTTTGTGCCACTATTGGACACGAAATGAGTACATAGAAGCTTGGTAAGTTTACAAGAGAATAAAACTTAGTTTTATTTAAACATTTGGTATTTATAGAATTTTAAGAGTGACTGTGGATTGGAGGATGAAATTACTACCTCTCTAACCACACTAGTCCAAAGATCAATCAATCATTTTTCTCTACTTACAGAGAAATGTGTAAACTATTTTATTTATACATTAAATAGTGTGGGAACTTTTACATTCTTAAATATGTAAACATTATCAGAAGACTAAAGAAGTTTTATGAGAACTTTAAAACTTTCAAAAAAAACTATAAAAGTTTTAAAAATCAGGGTAACAGTTTTCAAAAGGTGATGTGTATGATCATATATCCAAGCCCAGAGGCTAGGGAAAGGTCAGTGAATATCCATAGGGAAGCTGGGAAAGCAAGTTTAGAAGGAAGAACAAGAAATATGTATGTTTGTGTAGTATAGGTGTTCTAGAAAACATTTTCTGGATTTGAAACTTTCCTATTAACATATCAGGTTTTCTTCACTCTGTCCAAAAAAAAAAAACCATGCTGAGGTTCTGGCTTCTATTGTGTATTAGTTGTTGGAGACCTCTGATGGGCAGCTGAATCCCTCCTCATCTTTTGTCTGTCTAAAGTGAAATGCATTGGTATTGTCAAACCAATAACCTGCATCTCACTTGATTTGGGTGCCGCATGAGGTGGGGCACAAAGCTGTCTGTGTTACGAAGAGCACCACAGAGTGCCTTGGGATGGAGAACAGCAGAAAAGACCTTCAGTTTGCGGAGCTGGCTCAAAGATTTCTCCAGCACACAGTGGCCTTCATAGAAGTGGTTTTTATATCCGAATTCTTGTGATAAAGCGGGGGAAAAAAATAAAAAGAGAGTGAGACAACTGATACAAAATAGCTCTTATGAAAGGGCCTCTTTTTTAAAAGTGGCTATCCCACTTCTAATATAATCATCAGAAGTGACTTGCTGCTGGAGGCTTAGTTCTGTGTAGCATGTCACTCTTCCTTTCTTTCTGTTGCATTTTGTATGACGGATGTGACTGCTGTCATCTGAATTGTTTACTGCATGAAAGATATATTCCTCCTTGTGCTCAAATCTCCAGAGCCATCCCCAGTACAGTGCAAGGTGATGTATGTCTTGTCCAGCGTAGGTCACTGTGAGAGACGAGGTATGAGTCACTTCCCTCGTGGGCAGTGGTGACTAACTGCCCCTCCTGCTGCAGAGCTGGGCACACAGGGAATCCTCACCTCCAGCTCTCTGATGACAACACCATGTAACAGCAGTTTATTAAGTTGCAAGATGAAAGACTTTTACAGCTCATAAAGGAGGAAAGCTTATAAGGAGGTAATAAGAGAAGGAATATTTAATTTTGCATGAGTCTTCCTAAAATTGTGCTGCGTCTGAAATGCAAATTATAAGAGATTTGTATACAAGGTTTCACAATGTGTCACATAAGAGTTATTAGGATTGAACCATAAAACAATTACTTGTATAAGATTTTATTAAAGAAAAGCACCTTCTTTTAGTGTATATGTCATAAAGCTCTATAGAAATCTCTTGCTTTATTAACAAAACATAGAAGACACTTAGAATTCAGGGTATTTTTTGTGCTGTGAATGCTCTGGAACTAACATGAAGTACTTAGTTTTCAACTTGTCAACTGAATCTATATGAACACTTTGAAGAAAAAGGAGAGAAAGAGACTGCAAACCAGACCAGACTTCTACCTTACCTTTGCAATAAAATGTCACTTAAAATTGTGTCGGAAACTGCCTTATAGCCACAGCAGATTTACACTTGGTACAAAAAGACAGCATCATGGATTAAAGGTTTTGTACTGTCCTTTTCAGCTCCCAAGTCATGCCTCTGGTCCTGATCTTGACTTTTGTGTCTCTTTTCCAAAATTCTGAGAAGGTTTGACTCATCAAAATAACATGGTTTTAAATGTAAATACTCCAGTTCTGTGGAAAATTTTCTGATGTATAGATGCAGGTCCAAATTTTGGCTGGAAGGAGAAGTGTAGTGATTTGTGTCCATAGCTCAGACTTCGGGAAACCCAAATTTAAGATGAGAAAAGCCAAGCAGTTTTCACAGAACAGTTTTTAAATTATTACTTCTGCCTTTTTATGGAAGAAAATAAACTTTCCAAGAAGGAATAATGTGTGCCATTTATGCTGCAGTATTACAGATATTTTGTATAAATACCAATGGCAATAACAGGAAGATGAAAAGTAATCTTTTTGTCTTCTAGTACTTTGTTAGTAGTGTTCAGATTTCAGGCTGGTCATTATCTTTTCAGTTTGATCTTGAGAGGCAGCGGTTATGAATAGGGGCAGGGATGGAACCACAACTCCCCTACTGAGACGGAAATCTCCTCCCGATTGAAGCCCATGACAAAACTCCCATCAACATCAAAGCAGAAAGATTCCAAGCACAGCAACCTGAATGCATCTGAAATCCACTGTTGAGCAGCTTGGAAAGGTCAAGGTTTTTTTCAGATTAGTAGGGAAAAGAAAAAGACCCAGAGCAAATCATGACAAGCATAAAGAGAAGAGGAAGTTCGCTAATAAGTTCACAGTTCATTGCATAAATCTGTGTTTATTAAGGAAGATAATTTTTGTGAAAACTGATACAGGCATTCAGCTGGCTTAGGTGTTTCTGCTTCAAATGAGAATGGGATTATTTTTTTCCTTGTTTTGATGTTAGGGAGATGAATATATAAGATCTGTTTTTCACAAGTAGTATCTGTAGCACTATTGTGGCTGTTTACTTAACTAGCATATTCTGCAAAGGGAAGACAGAATTTTCCAGATGACCTGATAAAGTTTGTATCTTATGTATCTTGTAACCTTCAATTTCCACATGTTTGTGTTATTAAAAAAAAAAAAAAAACAAAACAAAACCACAAAATATTTGTCATTGCAAAGTGCTTAAAAATTTATTTTTAAATATTTTACAACATTTTATGAAGGAGATACTGACAGAGAAATAACTGGTTGACATGAATTTACTGCTTATTCAGTATATACAAAAGGAGTTTAGTTTATAACTCTGGTATTTAAATCTAGTAGTTGCATCTCATAACATGGCTTTAGTGCTCAAAAACAGCAAAATAACCCTTCCCAATGACATATTTTCTCCTTTTTTCCATACTGGAGCAAATCCAAACCCTATCAGATTTATGAAGGCCGTGAAGGTTAAGAAGTTTATTGTGTTAAGGAAGCATAAATTACTTCATAAAGCCACAAATGAACTCGTTAAATTAATGTCTATCTTATGAGTCTCCAGGGAGCACACAGGCAGGGTAAGGCATGCCCTACTCATGGATGAGATGGGAGCTGACCAGCATGACAGATGTCAGGAGGCTTTTAGGAGGGGAGGATGGGCTCTGGGAGGTCAGACTTCTGCTGCCCTGGAGCAGCTGCTGGTCCTCAGAGGCAGGCTAGGATGTAGTCTGAACTTCAAGGTGCTGGAGAAGCTGTTTGTTACTCTATCTAAATTAGATTTTGGGTGAAGGATGATGGTTAAAACAGACAAATGGAAGTGCTGTGGTTTTCATCCTAGTTTCTCCAGTTTTTTTTGCCTACTTGCTTACCTGTTGCTTTGCAATTTTTACTCACTTATGCTGAGGTTGCTCTTGTGCTGTTCATGTCTTCATTGCCAAAATGAGCTAAACTGCACCGTGAGTTTGTAACTACTTATACAAAACCAGACTTGCACTGCTATTTTCCTTATTGCTTCCTTTAGTATTATTTTCCAGTTTCTTCTTTGTAAGTCACTGGTAAAGAAAGACACACATTATGGATGTAGCAGCACATCTTTACCTGCACAGGGCCCTAAAACTGAGCTCTTAGCAAGGGTTCATTGCCCTAAATTCTGTAACTCAAAGGTTACTTATCAATTTTGATGTTTGGCACTGAAAAATGATTTCGAGTACTTTTTTGTACAAAGTGTAATTGTTTTGTCATATTGAAATATGAATTTTCAAGAATTTATATTTTGGGTTTATTAATTTCAAAGGTAAGATTTAAGCAGTCTGTAGAGTCATCAGAATTTGGAATCAGTTGAAGCTATGCTTCCAGAGTACAAAATAGGGCTATTCTCTTGAATTACCTTTTAAATGTATTTTCAATAGATTCCATTTCTCTGTTTCCTTGAGCATTTAATGTGACTAAACTCATAACAAAAAAAACATCTTATTGTTTTTGATGAGACTAACACTAATATCAAAGGATGGAATCAAAAAGGAGAGCATCACTAATTATTCAGCTGCGCCCCTCTTACCTGTAGAAACAGAAATAATATGAGCTGTGCTCCAGAGAGCTCACAGCTTAAGCAAGCCTAAGTCTCGATTTCAGTTTGGGACTGTCTGTGTACAGAGATGATTGATAATCAGTTGCTGGATAAATGAAGATCTATAATCCTGTCAATAACAAATCATCTGAAGGCTTTGGCCAGGATCAGCTACTTGCTCTGTGTCATGGCAGTGAAGCAAGTGTGCCAAGCAGAGCAGTGTCAGTACTAAAACTCAGCTAAAACTGAGGCAGAACTGATGAACTGGCTTATGTGAAAGGAAAAAAAAAATAAAGCGTGGAACAGAATGAGCTTTAATGCTCCATAAATATTGTATTAAAATGCTTTGCTGTTGTTATCATTAGTTTCTCTATTTGTAAACACTGGTAAAATGTAATAAAATGTATGAAATAAGATCTATTTAATATTTTATATTTATGTTAACTCTCATGTTTCTTCAGAAAACCAAATTATCATGTAATATTAGGAAATTAAATAGTAAAAAGTAAATAGTAAAATTCTGGAATAACTGCAAGGAACCATTCAAAGGACTTGCAACCAAAAATTTTTGAGAGTGTGTTTGGGCATGGTGTTGATTAATAAATACAGCTGAAATATGATCTGTGTCTTTATAAATAGTCTTTTAGCTCTGTCTTCAGGATTTTTTCTTTTTTAAAATCTTATTCTAGTCAGAACTAAATTCTGAATTTCAGTGTTGTTCATTCTAAAATTGCATATAGGAATGGGGGGTAAAGAGCTCTGCATGATCATGAGGTAGTATTTACTTTGAAATTCAGGGGCTGTTTTTGTATTTTGCAGACAAAGTTCTAATTCCAGGACACTGCTGCATGCAATTGAATCAATGGTGGTCACAGCAGATTCCTGACACTGTGAGATGGGATTCTGCTGTTCTTCCTCTGTGTGGTCTTCAGATGGGCCTCCAAACTGAGCTGAACTTCTGGAAAGCAAGAAAAGACAACATTTTATTTAAAAATAAACAAGTAAGAGGTTTCAGATATTTTTGCAAACATAAAGGAGAGATTTCTTTTGGATTGCATTTCTCTATACACTTTGAAAAGTGAGGAAACAAAACAACTTTAGGTTGTTTTGTTTTTGCCAATAGTTTATAGCGGTTTCCCAAAGTAATCAGGGTTTGCATAAATTACAGAAGAAAACCTGAGTTAAATATAAGAGGAAGTTAATGTTAAGGGGTTAAATATCTGTAAGAGATTCTGTTCTTGTCCATCTCTTCTAAATTTCTTCCCATGACATTTCTCACACTCTGGAGAAAATTAGTTTGAGAATTAAGTTTGTAATCAGGAAATTATTGCCAAATTTGGCCATGAATTAGACAATGTTGATTAATGATAACAATCATAGCTTGTTACAAGCAAAATAGCTCTTTTAAATTGAAAAATACAGGCAAGGTTACTTACTTCCCAAATTTTTGGGAGCTGTGTTTAATCTTCTTTTTCCATGCTTGTTATTCACACTGTTGTGATGCTATGATGCCAGGTGAGTAAGAATTGTGAAGAATTCAGTTCCTTCCCCACTTCTTTGACCATTCCAAGGATTTCAGCCAGCATTTATACTGGTAAATGCTTTATTTGCTAGTAGGCTTGAGACGTATTTATTCATTAATTCTTCGAGTGCGCTTGTAAGTTCTATATTGATAGGCAACCATGATGTTCAACTGTTTTCTTTCTCTTTTGTAAAATTAGAGCTTCAGTGTTGTCTGGATTAAAAAAAAAAAAATATTTGTTACAATCTTAAAAACCAAAGAAAGCAGCTGTTACCCAGCTTTTCAGGATGTTCTCAGTGAAAAGATGATAAGTGTAGAGTGAGTGAGATGTATACTTTGTGTTTATGTATGTAAGTATAACAAAGTAATCCATATTTTGTCTTAAAATGAGGCTGTAAGTTATGGTGCTAAGTTACATAAGAGATGCTGGAGCTTTATGTGTGCTGAGGTAGCTCATTGTTTGTTTGTGTGTGTGTTTGTTTGTTTATGTAGATACTTTTCCTGTCATAAAAATTGGTGAGAGAGATAGAAGTAGCAAAATCAAATAGTATATGCACCTTTTTTAGCATGTTTTTGATACTTTAGATGCAGCAAATCTGTAGATCGATAAATCCTACTGCTAAAAATTTAAGGCAGTCATCAATAAATAAACAATTAGCTAAAAAAATACTTGGTATATGAAGTTAAAATTTAAAGAAATATAATGGAATATCAGCTTTTTCTATAATGTTATTCAGTTTATGAAACACTAGTTCTGCAAAAAGCTTGCACTTACAAATATTTTTTGTATCTATTTTACTCCTGGTTAAAGATGACTGATAAAGGTTTGTAATAAAACCTGAAATAGTCACCTGTTTACAAATTTTATTTATTTTTTTAATGCTTGTGTTAATATTTTGGATTGTTTATGGAAGTCATAATTTTGTATTAATGAAGCAAAATATAGTGAAACAGTTTTTGTGTTTCACGTATGTCTAGAAGAGAGGACTGAAACTGCTATATTTCATCAGGTGTCTTTAATTAGCCAATAGTCTACAGTGACAGAATGCAAAAATTACGTGTCTCTTCTAAAGTTTTGAAGCCAGAGATATGTGGAACACCTACAAGGTGATGGAAAGAAAGCACTGCTCACCAGGACCTTGCCACCTGTACAAGCTGGCATTGCTCTATGTCTCTCATTTTAATAAATTTTTGAGCAGGAAAAGAGCAGGACAATGTTGAACAGAGATCAAAACAAACTGCTTGTGTGAGTCTGAATTTTCTCAGGTCCTCCTATGCCAATAGGAGCCCAGAGCAGGTGTGTTATGCCTTCTGTTGAAGGGCTAAACAACAGAAACTTCTACAGTCTGTGAGAAAAAGTTGTCAGTTTGTTAAACTTCCAGATTGAAGAAAATGTGGAGTCCTTCTCCCCTTTGATGAAAAAGCCCAAGCCATTGAACATAACACCAGAGGTTGTAACACAGCTCTTGTTCAAAATGTCAGGATGCACTTGGTGCCAGTTTGGTCAGGGGGATTAACTGATACGTGATTAGACCTCTGGTGACCAGACCTGGCCTGTCCTACACCCTGTTTAAAATGGCTGCAGACTTCAGACTTATTTTTCCTTTCATTCAAGGTAGGAATTTCACATTTCCACGACCTAGGCAACTGTGGTGATTCCTGCTTCTCCTTGGTCTGGTTGGCATAATTGAGAGGAACTACAGACATTCTAGAAAGGTGTGAACAGCCTTGGCTACCAGAAATGGAATGGAAACCATCATAGCCACTTCATGAGCCTTCGTGCAATTTCATGAGCAATCTTTAACTGTAACATGCCACTAAAACCTGCATGTCTTTCTATTTTAAGTAACAATTACCTTGCACTCCTCATTGAGTCTTGGTTAGATTTGAAATTATACTCTCTTAAGCTGAAGTGCTTTTTCCCTTTTATATTTTTACAGCATTGGTATAAGCCCAAGATATTGATATTTATCTGACACCAATGGAAAAATACATTCAGCTCTTTCAGAAGATGAAATTCCCAGAGATTTGTTAATTAATCCCACCTTTATTTTACACCATCTGCCTGATATGGAGCCCCTCTGAGTTCTACAGCATGCCTGCATGAGTTGTAGCCACAACCTACTTATTGCTCAGGTAGCTTCAAGTAAGGGTTCTAAACCACCTAAGTACCTAATAAATAAATGTTACTTGATACATGGGACACTAATAAAAAAGACATGGACTTAATCTGTCTTTTAGCTGCCTAATAAACACCAAAATTACATTACAGATACTATCAACCAGTTTTAGATTATTAAATTTGAAGATGAGATTAATAAATAGTTGTCAGATAGCCATCAGACATACAGATGCTGGGTACTTAAGAACAAAATATTCTTCTTGTCTAGAAACAAATTCTCTAGAAGCCATATAACCTTTCCAGGGTGGGTTGCTGCTCCTTACTCTCTTTTGCTGGTATAAGTCTGGGAATTTCAAAATGCTGGTAAGAGCTGCACAAGCCAAGAAAATATGGGCTTTGCAAACAAGCTCTGAATGACCTGCCTTGAGGTGTTTTTTGTGGTCAATAAGCTTTCTCCATGCTCCCACTGAAACCAAGTGGACTGCTGGGGGTGTGAGCACTTTTAAATGTTGGCAAGCAAAGATGTTCTGTAAGGTTCACTGTTCAGAGTATTTTGTTGGCCAGGAAGTAGGAGAATTACACATTATATATGCATGTGTGCTAGGTTTGATTCTGGGGTTGGGGGAGCCCTCTTCTGCAAGTTTACTAAATGATAAAATCTAAGAGAACTGATATTGCCATTTTTGTATTTCTTGGCACAATATATGCTGCAGGAGAATTAGTACCCAAAAGCTGTGGCAGTATTATGTCAAACAGGTGAATAAATTTCCAATATCACTTTTACTGAGAGAAAGAAACTCCCTTTACTGTGTTATTTTCTGAATGTTCACTGTACAGAAGGTGATACCTGAGAGTCAGTCTAGCTGGGCAGGTTGAGGATGCTCTGGGAGCACCTCAAAACTGAGAATTGCATTATGAGATAAGTGTAAAACTATAATCATTAGAGATAAAAATTTTAAAATATAATACATATTGGGGTTTGTGTTTATATATAAATTTAGAAATAACTTTATGACTGACATCATGACTACATTTTGAAAAGTAACTTTTAATTTTTTTATGTGGTTCATTTATTTACATTATAGATTGTATCTTTCACCAAAAATCTTTCCAAAGAAGAAACTGAAGAAGCATTAGAGCATGTGAAAACAGCTAAAACTACCTCAAAAAGCTTTGAGAATTTATTCTTTAATCACAAAAACACATTGGAGAGTTACTTCACCTGTGCTAAGGAAGTTAAACCATGGGATTTCCCATCTGAGATGTTGTCTTCCAGATTTAATATGTTCCCTAGAAACTCACTGAAGATTGAGGTATTGCTTATTATCTCTGCTTTTGGATAAATGCTGTTGAATAAATAAGTATCTGAGAAATATGGGCTATTCTCAGTCATGCAGACAGCCAGGCTCAGGTTTCTAATATCCAGAACACAAAATCACAGTGCATAGAGGAGAGTTAATAGTGTTGAACAGGATGTCACATGCTGTGCAAGGGGCAGTCCAGTAATAGCATTATGAGGAATTGCCAAGGTGATTCATAAATCCACCATTTCTTAGGGTTTTGGAAGTTGTTTTAGTAAAATGCTGGCCTCCACACGCAGCCCATGGCTTGAACTTTCTCCTGAGCATGGCATCTGCCTCTAAGAACTAAGGACCCATCTATTTATAGCTATAAAAAATGTAGTGTTTTAGGTTAGTCCTGGATGAGACAGAACACCCTTCATCTTCCTTTTTAAATTTCTGACTTTAAGCGAGGGAAAATGAAAATTCTGAGGTTAGGAAAGAAATGCAGAATATTTGTCTAATATTGTAGTTAGTCAGCTGTGTAGGATGGGAGCAGCCATAGCTTTTGGTTCCTGCTCCTGGGGCCTTTTCATTGCTCTTTACTGAAACTGGAAGCAGTTGTAGTAGGAGACAGGACTGGCAGCTGGTTAGAATTACAGAATCAAAATAGTTTGAGTTTGAAAGGAACTTTGAAGATTAGCTAGTCCAATTCTCTGTGATGAGTAGGGACATATTCAACTAGATCAGGTTGCTCAGAGTCCCATGCAACCTGCCCTTGAATGTTTCCAGGGATGGGGCATCCCCAAATTCTTTGGGCAATTTATTCTTGTGTCTCATCACCCTCATACTAAAAAAAAAAAAATCTTCCTCCTAGTAGTCAGTCTAAATCTACCCTCTTTTTGTGTAAAACTATTATCCCTTGTCCTGTGGCAACAAGCTTTGTCCCCATCTTTCTTATAAGTCCCCATTAAGTACTGAAAGGCTGTGATAATGTGTCCTCAGAGCCTTCTCTTCTCCAGCCTGAACAATCCCAATTCTCACAGCCTCTTATCCGAGGAGAGGTGCTCCATCCCTCTAAGTATCTTTGTGGCCCTTCTCTGGACCCACACCTTTCCAGGAAATGTGAGACTCACTTTAGGGATCTAAACTGGAAAATTATGTACTTTAGCTCTGCAACTATTGAGATTGTGCTGCCCCATCCCAACCCCTTAAATTCTATCTGAGAACAAGAAATCAAATCTCGCAGCATCTGGCAGTGCCCACCAGCACAATCTCTGAAAGGGATTAGGGGAGAAGGTGTTGGATATTGGCTGTCTGTCATCAGAAAGACAGGTTGAGGTGTTATTGGTGGGGAGGAGTTGTAGATACTTGGGAAGAGCATCCTGTGCCAGCAGCTTTACAAAGGTGGCAGCTTGTGCCCATCAGAGACATCGTGCAGAGCCATTGCATGTGAAGGAGCTCTCGCTGGCAGTCTTGGTTCTCACAGTCAGGTGGGGCCACGGAGAGCCCTGCCCTGTGCCAGGGGTGAGGGAAGTCTACAGATGACAGTGGTGAGACGAGGGGTCTGCAGTGACGTGGGATGCTTGGGGAACTCAAGCTCCTAGGGAAAATAGCTGAATACAAGGAAAAAGTTATTTTCATCCCTTTGGGGCATAAAACAATTACTTCATTTGAGTGAAATCAGAGACCATAGAAATTAATTTGGCATGTTTACAAAAGAGGTTAAAGTGTGTTCAAAGTTATTCTTCTGGGAAAGATTTAATTTTATTTTTCATAGCAACATTTTCTGTTATTATAATAAATCATGTGTTTATACATGAAAGTATGTGTTTAGGAGTGCTTGCTCTTTTTCATCTAGGTCTTTTTTAACAAAATCTGCTGAAATTGAAATGGAGTTAAATGTGTATGCGACAATTCATTTCCATTTATGTTTTAATCTTGGCAGTGAATCGACCAGGATGAAACCTTGCTGGAAATGTCTGTTGCTCTTCCACCTTTTCTTTCATTGTGATTATTTAAGATAGCACAGGCTTAACTGCTCATTCTGCCAAACCAGAAGGGAAAAGGTCAAATGGAAAAACCATATCAAATATAGGTATGTTACTGACTTTTTTGTAGAGGTTAATTAATTTTTATTAATTTGATCGAGGAAATTTCCAGTATTATGTTGCAATTTCAAAAGCTGAAAAAACTGGCTTTTGGTGGACTCAAGGGGCATAGTTAAAGTGAGCCAAATGAATGGTTTCTGGAAAACTCATCAGAAAGAGAATACACAATCCTATAGATTACAGTTAACATTGTACTCTATACACAGGGTATTATTATTTCCTTGTTTATTCAAAGTATCTGTAAACTTGGAATTGTGACTCTGGGAATGTTGTAGTGCTGAATTGAACTAGAGAGGCATGAGACAGGCTTCCAACACAGATGGGTACAGAGTCTAGCTTCTTTAAAATAAAAATTAATTTTCTTAAGGTTAGATTTCTGGATGCATTTTCCTGATCAGGTAAATTATTTATAAGTCTCATATGTAGACACCTTCAGATGGTTTTTGCCAACGATTTTTACTAGATAAACTAAATTTAAATGAATAAAATAAATTTGGAAAAAGTGAAACAAAATACCCCAGCAACATTGCCCAAAATTAAAAAAAGGTTACTTTTTCACATGTAATATACAGAGCTGTCAGTTTTTGTAATCTTTTTTTCCTGAGTGTTAGGATGCAATTTACATGCAGTTCTGGTGCAGATACAAAATCAGTTGATTCTACTCAAAAAGATAGGGAGTGTTTTTTAAATGTTGGTTTATAGAAGCATCTTGCAATTAAAGCTAAAATAATTCCTAACATTATGCTCACCAGAAATCATGGTATAATTTTATATTTTTTATATATTTATATATTACTGTACTTTTTTAGACATTTTTTCTTGTAATTTTCAAAATTTTGGTGTTAATTCATTGCTATAAGTATCTGTGAACTTCTGAAAATAGGTTTTTGGAAGGATTTAATCCCCTTCTAACATGAATCCAAATAAAGAAGTACTCTATCATATTATGTAGTTGGCTTTACTGCCTGCAGGCTAGTAAGCAGCTAGACCACTTATCTGGCAGGAGGGCAGCCAAATTCTGTCTCCTTCATTTTAACCCTGCAGCTTTGTGGAACAGGGAGATATTGACTAAATTCCACTTGAGGAGAGGGGGCTGGTGAAGCCCAGGTGTGTCCAGCTCCAGGTGCAGATGTAATGGGTGCCCTGGGATGATTCTCTTCTTCACTATCCCAATCCAGAAAGGGATTCTCCTAGCTGTGTCCCTGCCATTTCCCTGTGCTCCTGGCACCTGCGTCCCCACAAGGCTGATGGGTTTGCCCAGATGCAGACCATTAGAAGGTGGGCTGTGAGCTTGCTGGTCTCCAGGAGCTTGGATCTGCTGTATGGCAATTTTGGCAGTGTGCTAAGTAGAAAGATTGCTGCATGTGTGAGGAATGTTTGTTGGGTTTTTTTGGGTTTTTTTTGTAAGGTGTTATTTAAACAGGCAAATTCTTGAAAACAGACACATATTAAAGTTGTTAAAATGATAGGTAACAACAATAATTTGATAAAATATATAATAATGATACTTATAAGAAAAGGATTAGCAGAATATAGAGATTTACTTTTCCATTAGGTGGGGTAGGAAGTATATTCTCTGTGTGCATACAGACTGATTTTTCTTGCAAGTATATATCTTAATCTAGGTAATTAAAAACCCAGAAGAATGGTTATAAATCAGATCTAAACTAAATGAATGGTGCCTGCTTAGTTCATGCACAAACCTTGTAAAGTTGTTAATGCCTTTGGATTAAAATCCTGATACTTCTTTCAAATCCATGGCAAAGCTTTCCATGTCTCAGGGTCAGGACTCACTCTATGTACTTCTGAATTTCATTGCTCCTGATAAAATCCCTGACGATTCAGAGTAAATTCCTGTTGATCCCTGCACAAAGCTGCCTCAGAAAGAAGTGAATGGCAGCAGTGACCTACTGCTGCCTTTTTTTCTCCCTTCTGAAGCACCAGGAAGCTTTGAACCAGCCTTGTCTGTGGCAGATGTGGATTGAACACACCCCTTCTGAGGTCTGTGTGTAGCTTACCCAGTCTTGCCTTTACCTTTGAGGATTCCTTTCATGCTCAATATACAAACATAAATTTGGTGACATGCTTGAAAAACAGTTTTAAAGTGCTAGGTAGAGTACAGCAATTTGGTCAGATGTAGACTGTAAGAGGGTTTGAATTGATCAATTTTTGAGGTGATGAGTGCTTCCTTAGTGACTTGACTTACGACAAAAGCAGCCTTTTAGGACAGTTCTAAACAAGCATTCTGCATTGTAAATTTGCTGACTTTCCGCCTTACTGCCAGGTAAAGCACAGTCAGTGAGTATTGGTTTTCAAGTTTGAGCCACTCTTCCTCATGCATGCAGTCTTAGTGTTGACAGAAGAGGTACAGGTGAAATACCAAGCACCAATTACTGCACTGGTTTTACTGTCACCACTAAAATATTTATTTTCCCGGTTCATCAGAAACTATTTGCCTTTGGGTTTTACAATCCTAATCAGGATCTTTATCAGACAATAGCTGTCATCTTACAGTTAATTTATTTGTCAGAAGCTTCAAGGTTCATGCTGTTAAGTGTATGATATATGAATAGTGTCCACATATTTCCCAGGAACAAGCCTTACATACTTCTGGATAGGCAGGAATGTAATTGACTAAAATGTGAATGGAATTGCCTGAAAACCTGAACAGAGCAATGATCTGATGTAACTGGGGGAGGTCTGATCTCAAAAAGGATCAAAGAATGCTTAGGTTTTAGGGCACAAACGTGGTCTTCTCAGACTTACTGTCTCAAATGGATTCTTGGTGAGTTAAATACATGTACCCTTAAAAGAGAATATATCCTAATTTAGCCACAGAACTTTATCTAAATTCCTTTATTTGCCTTGGAGAAGTGCAGTAGTTCATCCTGTCATGGGTTTTTTGTATATATAAGTGGGCTTGTACTGTGTATTTAAAAAACTCAAACAAAATCCATGTTCGCTGAGGGATGGATGGAGTTAGGAAGAAGATACTTAAATAAACAAGTTAATTTGATATGCCTATTCAAAGATGCTGGTTTTTATTTAAATGTCCACCTTGGCTACTGATAGTTCTATTTGTTATTTTTCAAGTGGCTTGCAACAGAAGAGACGCAGATA